TATGGAACAGCTTACCAAGTTTAGCTAAGGAACAAAACAGCCTTAGTAAATTTAAATCTATTCTTGACCGCAGCTGATGTGTTCTTGTAATTAGTAATCTATGCAACTAGTAATATAGGTAGTGTAATAGTTGTAAATTAATTTATATTTGTATTGTCAATTTAAGTAGTTTGCAAACGGCTCCTTGAAAAGCAGGTGCCTATGTGCCCTGAAGGACTACCGTTTTTAAATATTTTTAAATAAATAAATAACAAATAAATAAATTTTAAATATTGAATGGAGTTATTTCATTCCAATAATGCAATATTCTCAACTTCGTCTCGGTGAATATTCCCCAATAAACACGGCTTGCTGCCAGGGTGATATGTTTGTTTTTGTGTGCCCAATATTTGATCAAGGTGATCAGTAACATATGCACCATGCAGTGGCTGCACAAATCCTGTTAAATATAATATTCACATATGTGCCGCCAAGTTGCAATATCAACACTTTTAGAGTGAGACAGAACAGATAATAAGCATTTTGAATTATTATGTGCTGCAGTCAGTGCTCAATCAAATTGCCATTATTACATGGCTAAAATACAAACAGAAATGGTTGAGAATGTTGTAGTGTGCACAACTAAATAAATTTTTGTACACCAGTGCGCTAGCTACACCGGTTCATTTTCCCATTTCCACCAATCGAAACAGGCCGTAAATTTGTTGACTTGGGCTGTTTTGGGCCATTCCATTTAATAATTCCACCCCCTCCCCTATGGATGAGGACAGTTATGTAAAACTTTAACTCCTACCTTATAAGAAAAAAGACCAAAGTGCTGAGACAGACACTAAACTCCCTTGAGCAGAAACTAAATCATGCTTGGCAAGTTGTGCCAAGCAGTTAAAGCGAGCGCCATCCAATGGGGATGCATGCATCTAGTAACTTGCCGAGCATTCACACAAAAACAGTGGGTACACTATAGTTATAACTCCGTAAAAGTATCTACTCTGTGACTAAGGGCCTGTTTATATGGAAGCCGGGCTGGCCCGCTTAACGAGACAGCCTGGTAAGCGAGATCTCACTGTGTAGTTATTATTATCATAGTAAAAGTTATTGTGTGTTTATATGGACAAGCGTGCTGGCCCGGTTGCCGAGATCTCGCTTGGAAGAGGCGAGATCTTGCTTACCGGGATGGAAATTCTCCATATAAACACTCACAAGCGGGCTAGCCCGGTTGCCAGGATGAAAGTTCAAAGATACCGCCGCAAGCTATTTTTAACAACTGTCAAAACAACATCAATGTAACAAAATTGTCCCGGCAAGCGGGATGAAATTTTCTCATATAAACACAAGAGAAATTCATCTCGCTTACCGGGCTGTCTCGCTAAGCGGGCCAGCCCGGCTTCCATATAAACAGGCCCTAAATGGAATATTGGAAATGGCCAAGGCACCTTGTTCATAATTCTGTACCGTGTGTGACTATTAGGGCCATTCCATTTAAAATCCACACCCCCCTACGGATGAGGTCAGTAAAATTTTAACCCCAGTAAGAAAAAAAGATCAAAGTGCCGACACAAAACTCCCCTCAGAAATTTGTGAATTTTCCCCTTACCCCTCAGAAAAATCGCAAAGATCAAAGGATGCCGACAGGCTTAACCCCTCAGAAACGACTTTTTGAGTCACCCTTCAGAAAAACTCATCCGTAGGGGGGTGTGGACATTAAATGGAATGGCCCTTAATTATTTTAACTTTTAAAATCTAGTTCTACAATCGATCTAACACAAAATCACAAATTCCTATCTTAGTCACACCAAATTGAAATAAAGCTTCATAAACTTCGATTAAATATTAAATTATACATACCTTTTTGAGAGGTAGACCTGACGCGAATCGCGACTCGAATGCTATCGAGCGAATTCGACATATTTTTTTCACAAGGCCGTTGGCTGCCCAAGCAGTATATTCAAGCAGTTCCCTTGACGAAATTAAACCAGAAAGCAATGATGAATGAAAGCAAAAGAAAGGATTGCACAAAAAATACACAATGTCTTGAGCCTCCGTCGGTCTTGAGTAAAATCGATGCTTTGTCGCCCGAAATGGTCGGTCGACTAAGCGCTTAAAAGTTGAGAATTAAAACGTTGTATTTACACGTTTTGCCTTCCGATTTCGCTTAAATAAGATAATAAATTAACCTCACCTTGTACAAGTATAACAAGTCTGTTGACTGTTCATGAAACACCCAAAATTTTCGCCTAGAAATTTATACAGTACACCAACTAAACATTTTCAAACGAAACACCACAATTTAAATTGTTGATCTGCTTCCTGATTGGTGAAAATATAACATTCCTTACCAGCCTCCTGGAAAATCGCAATATTCATGAAGGCAACCGCTGAAACACTTATCGAAATATCGCGGGCAGTGGTAAAAGCTTTTGGCGGGAAAAATTAAAATCTTGAAAAATGTGTCGAAAACTTTTTTGTAAAAATTAAAACAGGCTTAAATTTTGAAGGAATTTGGGATTGTTATTATTGAAACTAGCTTGGTGGAAAATCTTACCATTATGCTAAGCTTGTTGTTACTCCAGAATGTGTCGAATAACGGTATATTTCGAAGTGAAATATCATAAAAGCATGGTTGTTGTGTCATATTATAAAGTTTAGCAAGGTACAAAATATTAATATTGTAATTATTTTTCTTAATTTTTAATATATTTATGCATAATATTTATTCTGGTTTTAGTGATTTATATGCTCTAATGAATATTTATGAATTGAACTGTCTATTTTTCTACTCAATTTTATGATATCTTAATATAAATAGGTTACTCCAAGATGTCAACTCAGCGTTTGGGTGACGAACCATTCGCTTCAGACGAAGACCTATTCTTTCATAAACTTTTTGCTGAAGACGAGTTATCTCAAAGAAAAGCATCAAAAACTACGTCTATGTATGTTAATTCGATTTACTCATTCTTTGTTTGTAAAAAGAAAGGAAAATTTGTGGGCTTATGGACGTTCATGCAATTATATTTATATCAGTGGCGGAAATCTTGGCTAAAAGAGGGCTAAAAACAGTCTTTTCGAGTGCAAATGGGGGGGGGGGTGTGTATGTCGGAAATTTGAAAGTTTTGTCGGAAATTTAGGAGGCGTTGCCCCCCACCTTACTAAGTATAGCAGTGAGACCAGTGGTTTGTTTTGGTTTTGGTGAGATAGTCTAGGCCGTCTCAAAAGTCTCATGTAACACAGAGTAAAATTGGTTTCGGCAAAGCAAGCTAATTAGTTTGCATGGGTACTTGGTCTGGCTTGTCTCTATATAAACAGCCCTAAGTATTCAACCCTTCACCACAGAATAAAGACACACAGAAGGTCGACTCAGAGCATAATCGCTGCCACGCCATGATTTGTTATCAAAATGATAATGCTATGGTCCTAAGCCAGTCCACTTAAGAGAAGCATTTACCCCCCTCTGGACATTTTCACAATTTTTAATATTATCAGGGGAGAAAAGGCTCTGAGACCATATTTAAAGCACATTCATGGTTAGGACTAATGGCATTAGCATTTTCATGACGAATTACAGTTATGCCAACATTATAGGAAAAACCAAGAAGTCGATCTTATGTTTGTCTCCTATTCTGTGGCTTCACTCTGCATGAGATTAGAACCCATGAAAGAGGAATACTTGAAAAAGCTTCACTCAGGGTACCCGGGCTGCATTCCCGCTTGCCCCATACAAACAGTCCCTTGCATCCCGAAAAATTCTCATGAACATATTGCATATTATAGCTTCCTACATGTAATTCCTATTTCCTAATCACTTAATCAGTTTATTCAGTCACAAAGCACTTAGTTTGCATGCAGCCTGACTTTTTGAGAGGATTAAAGTCAGATTTCCCCCTTGAAAAGTCAGGCTGTATGCAGGCTACAAAGCTAGCAGTCATTTTGGTTTCAGGAAGTAATTTTGATCTGTAGTTAATTACGTTTTTAGAAATGTAACGAAAAACTTAATTAATTACAAAAGCAAGGAACGTGTTCCTTTTCCAAGGAGCAAATTGAAAATTCCTTTTCTTATTTTGTAAAAATAAGAAATAAAAAATACAACGTTACGAAAAATGGCGGAACTAATTTTCAACGAGATATCACATGACATGATAGCCGACATGATTAAATAGTACTATTTTTTGCGAAATTTGTTCCGAGGCTCAGAGCGCCAAATATTGGCAAATAAAGTTTTAAGTTTACATGCTTCGATTTCCATGTCAAATATTTTAATATATTGGAACATCATCTTGAAAAATTCTTGCAAATTTCATAGATTATACCGTTTTTATTTACAACTACTGTTTAAGATATTGTCTTATAATATATATATATATATATATATATATATATATATATATATATATATATATATATAGTAACAATTTGCCGGTAAAGGAATTTGTAATGAATTCCTTTTTTCCCGAGTAATTTTTTCATTGTACTTAACTACATTTTAGAACAAGTAATTGTAATCAGGAATTTATTACATTTTCAAGCAAGTAATTGGAATTGGAATTAATTCCTTTTTCAGCGGTAATTTTGCAGCCATGTTGGTTTCCATATATCCATGCATGCATGCATGCATGACATTAGATTAGATTATGGCTGCCAAAAATGAATTAATGCTAAATTAAAACGGGCTAGTTTTAGCCAGAATGTTTAGTTTTTTTAAAGTCATGTTAGATGTTTGCACTTTTTAAATTCATTTGTGTGTAAACATGGTATAAACATGGTTTTGACACCACATTCTTCGAACAAAATGCTGACATCAGCAATATTTTTGGTCAACAATGCTATAGCAGATTAGCAGAATATTCAAAGCAATGAAAGCATATAAGACAGCCAGCTTTTAGGTTGATTTTTAGCATGATGTGACTTCATCATGACATCACGTGCAGTCGTGCAACCAAAAATTGTAAAAGTTCTCCATTTTGTACACCGGTCCTTTATTGAGATCCGATAAATCCATTTCTATTTTCAGGTTTACACCACCGTTTAAACATCACGTTCCCCCGCCACCAAGTTTCTCCCAACTTTTCTCACAATCAACCCAAAATAAAATGTACAGCAGCCAGAGTAAAACTGTCGCCAAGGTCCAACCACATACAACTACACATAATCCCACAGCATCATGGCAAACATTTTCTGGTCATTCCACATCTGTAACAAAAGAATCTGAAGTTCCCATGGGGTTTGATGAAATTGATGATCATGATCTTGATAATACTTGCTTCTCTCAACATCCAAGTTACCATCACGAAGGTATGCTCTGAAGCAGACGAGCAAGTTTTTCTTGTCCCTTGAAAAGTTTTACTTGTTTGTTGACCAGTAATAGACCAAATATTGCTGAATTCAGGGACCTCGCAGCGATTATACGATTGGAAGGCAGGCTATTGTTGAGACGAAGTGAACATTTCTAGGAGACTAGGAGGTCTGGGGGCATATATCCCCCTTCCCCAGAACATTTTGACAATTAACTGATTCGGATCAGGGGCGTAGGAAGCATAAAAAATTGGGGGGGGGGGGCGATTTCGGGCACTTATGTGAAAGGGCATCTAAAAATTTTTTCCCTGAAATGTTTAAGTACTGTGGGGGGAGGAAAAATAGATGCAATCATAAATCAAAGGCCATTGAGACAAAAATGCAATCTGAACAACATTTTTCAGGAAGGCAAAGGGCACTTTGCCACCGGAAAAGGGCACTTTTGAAAAGGCCCCCCGGTTCCTACGCCCCTGATTCGGATGGTCAGTCGATGGTTGGTGCCAATTTGCTACAGAAACGTTGCAGTTTAGCGCGAAGCCTCGCGTTCTCAGGCTATCGTCTGTGCCCGGTGCATGGGCATTCGACGGTCCCCAATTCGAAAATGGCCAATTGAAGCAATACATTACTGCGCACTAAACTTCGAATGGCCATTGCCATTAAATATCGTTTATTCTGAAAACTATCTAGTTGGCCTGTAACTCTAGAATTCTTCATTTAACTAGTATAAACTTTGGAAATTCTGAATTGGTTCACATTTTGAACTTAGAATTAGCCCCCGTTCGACTAAAATTGAACGTATAGCATTGCTCTATGGCTCCTTAACTTCTGCAGCAATGGACCATAAAGGAGTTCCCGCCACTTAGCTTAACAATTATCAGGAATTCGGTTTTCGCATGATATGAAGAACTGCCAAGGCCTGAGTTTGTGTTATCCACCTCAGACCCTTCATAATTGATGAATTCTTCCTATCATGCGAAAACCGAATCAACTTACTGTTTTATTATTTAAAAGATCCAAACACATCGGTCCTAGTGTTGGTTTAATTCTTGAAATAATGAAGTTCTTTCCATTTGCTGCATGCAAAAATCTTGCCTTTTTCCTTCATCATTGGGCTGATATGACGATTTTACAGTTGGCTGTTAGCCACTCAGAAACCATGATTTATTTTAAATACATAATAATTAGGTATAAAAGATGTACTATTCAATCCAATTTTGAGTTCAGTGGTAATAATTTTTCCATGATGTATAGGTACAGGATTGGAATATGAAGAACGAGATCTTGATCATAATTACCGTCCAGTCACAAACGTTTCGTCTTTTCAAACACCAAGTCAGATGGTATTAAATGGTAAGACAAATACAGAATAGTGGTCGGACATTCATTAGTTTCGGTCGGACAATGGACAAAGTAATGTTTTTCATATTTGTCTTGTGTTTGTTCATGTGTTTCGGCTGGTTATGTTGGTCGGCACTACATTATAATGCATCTTAGATTTAATCGGACATGCAGCCGTCCTAATGCATCAGGAAATTCTTTGTCCGGACATAGATTATATAGGGTCCGGATTTGCAGAAATGCCCTCAAACGTGTGGACTACATGCAGGCATAGAAGGTGATGAAACTCACTTTCCCTAACACCCTGCAAGTTCTGAAGATACCGGGATAAGTAGTCCATGTTCACATGTTGTACATAACTCTTTTCTCCAATCAGATTTAATTTTTACCATATTGCTAATTATAGGCATTATGTACTAACTGTTTAATAAACGAGCAGGAGGCTTTTATTAGGTTTAAAAACGGTTTTATAGACAGTTATAGACCTAATAAAACACGTACTTCGAAATTTATTAAGCGGCTTTAAACGCGGCTTTATATAAAAAATACTATGTAGTAGATGGTTTTATATAAAGAAGTAAAGACTGCTAATGACCTAGGAGTGTTTTATCAGGTATAAGGTCACTGCACGCGTGGCATATTTTCAATGATTATAAACAGGCTGAATAGTTTTGAATTATTAATGATGTTTGAAATATGTGATAAAATGTTATGGCCTAAAGCCTGGCTCCCATATGCCTGCGCTATCATTGTTTACAGCTGTTGATGACTTGGTGCATATTCTTTTTTGAATTATTTGGTTGAAGGTTGAACTGCTAACGACAATAGCCCTCCGACATACCGCATGTATATGTGAACCAGGCTTTAGCCAGACACTTGCTCTTCCAACCCAGATAATTATTTGTATTCAGTGCAGAATATTTAAGCTATAACTAATTCACGAGAGATATAAGAGTGTCATTTAACTTTGACTTATCCACCGTTTAAGCTAAACGGGCTTGATACAACCATAGTTAATAGAATAGATGGTTTGGAAACTCATTAGAGTGCAAAATAATCATTATCTATGTTAGTCAACGTTTATTGATAAATCTGCTCCTTCACCGTCACGTGCGTATTGTATTTTTGTCCAACTAACTAATAACAATGTTTTAGTTAGTTGGACAAATTTACTTATCCGTGACTCGAACAATAGGGTAAATTGGAAATTGCTATTGGTGGATTTGGCAACAATACAATACACACGTGACGTTGAAGGACCATATTTATGAATAAACGTTGGCTAACATCGATAACGAGTTATATTGTTATTCTAATGAGTTTCCAATCCATCTATTCTATTAACTATGATACAACCGGCCCCTGAAATGGTTCTTGTATTTCGGGTGCCTATAATTGCTTTCTTCAGTATATATGCGGGCTTTTAATGTGTTATAAATTTATGCTTGATATTGTCATTGTTTTTCAGTTCCTTCCAGAGGAAGAAATAGAGGAAACCAACAGTTAAGACCAGTAGCTGAAATACGTATCCTTTCTAACTAGTCAACAGGGTATTGCTATCCGAAACCCTATATAGTCTGTGCCAAAATAACCGAAACGGCAATCGGGAGACACGAGTTTGATTCTCGTTGGGGAGTTCAGATGTTTATAAGGATGCATATAAAGAGTCAAGTCTCTAGTTAACATCGCATTGCCTAAACTGAAAGCGAAATGTATACAGATTTACCAATCAATATAGTTTGGGTCGTATACTATGTTAAAGTATTCAAAAATTAAAATCCTCGCTCGACTAAATGCAGATCTAATTGTAAACATTCCAAATATATACCGATCTTTAAGTCATTAAAATGACTGCATAATTCAAATTTACAATCATAAAACACATTTTTTCCAATGCGATTCATGAATTATTGACGTAAAACAGCGGTTTTTGCATGCATATCAGCTGTCAATGGAAATTAAAGTCCGTTATCAACCGATTCAGTTATCACATAGATATTTTGTAAGTTTTGCATATTCCAAAATTGGTGTTTTATCGTTTGTCAGTTGTCAGTTATCAGAGAAAACATTTAAATATTTTTAATTGTCAGTTTTCAATCAGATGGCGATTTGATGAAAAACAAAATTTTAAATGAACTAGGTTTCCAATTGTATCAACGCTGTGAACCCAATGAACCCCCCACTTGACAATTTGGCATATTAAAGGGGATTAACACTGGTGACATTACTGAGTTTTATTTGATAATTTGAGTTTTTTCTAATAAAAAAAGATGAGCGTCATGGCAAACAACTCTACGCATTTATTCACGGTTTCGAGTGATGTTCTTATGGCTTCGGTTATATTTAAATTCATCGCAATGGGCATCGGTGTAACGGGAAACATTGCAGTCGTAATTTGCAACATTTTCGTGGAAAAAGAACGGACAGCGACTTCGTATTTGATAGGAAACTTAGCACTGGCAGATCTTCTTACTTGTTTGACATTCTACCCAGTATGGATTGTTGAGTTCATAAAAACTATATTGGAAGTTGAAAGTGATCAGAATTTGTTTTGCAAGTTAAGTCGGTCCAGCAGTTGGATGTTGTTGTTTGTTTCCATAGCAACTCTCTTCGCCATCACCCTCGATCGTTATATATTTATTGTAAAACCTTTAAAGTATCCGATCCTAGTGACACGCCAACGAGTTCTTCCAGCTATTTTAGGAATCTGGGTAACTGGTTGCGGTATATTCGCATTGCTTGGATTGAATTATCGAACCTACCCAAGATACAGAAGCTTATGTTACGTTTCATACGATATCGGTTGGTCTACAACAATTTTTATCGGCTACATTCCACTCATCTTATTATTTATTCTCAATTTCAAAATGTTAACGGTTGCACGGAGACAACGAAGACGCATCCTTGCTGAAACTACAACAGTTGATACAGATCACACTGATGATCGGGAGTTACCCAACACAAGTGCATCCGGTGTACGTCGTATTCTTCTCGCTTGGAAAGGAGTTAAAACATTCTTTATTGTAATAGTAGTGTTGGTTATTTGTTGTTTCATACCAACCGTGGTTGGGAGAACATTACTCTATATTTGCAGTGAGACGTGCCAGCAGGTGTGGTACGTAGTTGTCAATTATGAACTTTATGGAATAAACTCGATTGTTAATCCTTTTATCTATGGGATGAGGCATATAAAATACAGAAGAGCATATGGACACATTCTTTTCAAACTGTTTGGTTGTATATAATGAAGTATATGTAGAACATAAAGTTTTTCAGGCGGCGAAGTTACACAATTGCAAATGCTGTGCAATTGCATATTTTACTTTTCAATTGTTCAAACCTGTAGAAATATGTATTGTCCTTAGACTATCTAAGCGACGTGTATTTGCATAGCATGACTATAGTTACCATGGCTAACTTCGTTACTGATTCTTTTCAGTTTTCAAATCATTTCACTGTGTATAGGCCTATAACGAGGCATATAAAATATAGAAGAGCCTACGGACACATTCTTCTGAAACTCTTTAATGTGTGTAACGAGGCATTGGAAGAGTCTACAGACACATGTACATTTTTCAAACTCTTTCACTGTGTAGGCAATTAGAAGAGCTTACGGACACATTCCAAACTGCTTCGCTGGGTAGCGTTATGATTGTTAGCAGCATTTGAAATGTGGGCCCTAGGGAAAACACTGATTGAATACATCTTGGAGGAAGGAAAATTAACGACGAAAGAGTCCTGTAAATGAAAAAAGGACAACAATTGTCAAGTTAAAGAAGCTCGGCTACTTTGTATTATTAGAACTATTAACTATGTTTAGTATTGGTATATGGCTGGACATTAGCAAACATATTTGTGTAACGGATGAAGGGGCAGATGAAGGATCGGAATAAATTTGGAAAATATATACTTGGCCAGGCATGAACTATAAAAGATGCATGAGAAAATTGATGGCGTATACCGTCATCATGTATCGTATAAATGAACAAATGTAGGTGAGTTAAGACACCAACGGTGACTAACAGATATTATTCCAAAGTAAATTTGCCCGCCGTGCCGGGTAAGGATGGAATCGGTTCCCGAATGTGATATAGGGATGGAATAAGTACCTGTTAAAATGCACGTATTAATGAAGTATACCATCACCAGCATAATACGAAACATGAAGCGAAACAAGCTGTGAGGGAAAAAGCTATGGCTGAGAAGCACGAAGCGATGATCGAGAGCGCCTTTCGTGACTGGCTGCTCGTCATATGTTCCATTTATATTTTTCCATAACATGTTGTAAGTGACCATGCGATCACATCTTAATTCCCTGTTAGCCAGTATTAATTTTATTGTCCCATGGTCGTTTTGACATTATATATTAAAATCATCCGAAAGCCTTGAATTGACGATTTCGATAACAAACCTTCTTATCATTTGTAGTCGTTGCTTTAATCTGCATAAATGTGTAAAACTTTACATGTGCTTCAAAATGATCTAAAATTATGCTTTATGTAAAATTATACAAAGATACTGTATGAGAGTGATGTTTTTGCAATAATCGGTTGTATATTTACATTTATTATTTGCTACAGTATATACCATGAAGATAATAAATGAAAAATATAAATTATTTGTCTTTAACTTAAGCTTTAGCGGAGCAATTTAGATCAATATTTTCTTCATTTCCTTATTTTAATTTTGTGCAGTCGAAAGTTCTCGATGATGTAGGTATTATCTATTAGTTATTTTATTTTAATTTCCATTCTTTTTCACAGCTGGCTTTGGGGTGAGTAAATAAGTAAATAAGTGGGGCTGAGCTGAATTGGGAAGGACGCAGCTCAACCTGATCAGGACGAAGGCTTCCTAAGGGCGCCTCTAGCTTGGACCTTATGAGTCATAGGGAGAAACCGAATTAACCAGAGAAAACCAATGACTTTCGGTAAAACGTTGAGTGACTTTTTTCACACAACTGCAGGGGCGTAGGAAGCATCAAAAGATTGGGGGGGGGGGCACCGGCTTCCAGGGGCACGTTAGGATATTGAAAAGGGCATCGAAAAATTTCCCCCCGAAATGTTGGCGACGGGGGGGGGGGACGAATTTTCCGGTCATACCGTAGCCAATATATACAGTATATACCATGAAGATAATAAATGAAAAATATAAATTATTTGTCTTTAACTTAAGCTTTAGCGGAGCAATTTAGATCAATATTTTCTTCATTTCCTTATTTTAATTTTGTGCAGTCGAAAGTTCTCGATGATGTAGGTATTATCTATTAGTTATTTTATTTTAATTTCCATTCTTTTTCACAGCTGGCTTTGGGGTGAGTAAATAAGTAAATAAGTGGGGCTGAGCTGAATTGGGAAGGACGCAGCTCAACCTGATCAGGACGAAGGCTTCCTAAGGGCGCCTCTAGCTTGGACCTTATGAGTCATAGGGAGAAACCGAATTAACCAGAGAAAACCAATGACTTTCGGTAAAACGTTGAGTGACTTTTTTCACACAACTGCAGGGGCGTAGGAAGCATCAAAAGATTGGGGGGGGGGCACCGGCTTCCAGGGGCACGTTAGGATATTGAAAAGGGCATCGAAAAATTTCCCCCCGAAATGTTGGCGACGGGGGGGGACGAATTTTCCGGTCATACCGTAGCCAAAAGTGCACGTTTTTGATCAAATTTTTTAAAAAAACATCGAAATTTCCAAACCGAAAAAGGGCACCTTCGATGTTAATTTAGTATTTACAACGACATTAGCATGTACAAAAAGGGCACTTTTGATCACAAAAAGGGCACTTTTAGTCCTTTGATAACATTTGGGAGGGGGGCACGTTCCCCCTCTGCCCCCGGTTCCTACGCCCCTGAACAATTGTCAAGATTTAGCCGCGTGAATCGTACCACGGTTAATAGAAGGAAATCTTCTATTAACCGTGATCGTACTCACGATCTCAGGCATGAAAGGCGATTACTCCAGCGATAGTGGCACCAAAGGAGTGTTATATTTTCTTACAAAAAATTATGGTGTTGCAAGATGGTGCAGTGGTTATAGTGTAACACACTGTGTCTTTCACTTATGTTTGTGAGCAGGGTTCCATGGAATCCGCCCCACCCCCCGGCAGATCAATTTCGCCATCTAGGGAAAGAACGTTCTAGGAGGGGGGGGGGGGGTGTCCTAGGATGTTCACCGCCGTTAGCACTTGTTTCATTAATGAAATTGTGTTCAAAATCAATTTTTTGAATGGACATTTGACTAACCTAAATCGGTCGGTTTACATGTCCGATCATAAAAAACTTTGATTGAGGACAAAAGGTAAAATTTGGTCGGACAATGTCCGATGACCGACACTAATTTGCAGCACTGGTTTTCCTACTAAATAGTTTATGTTTCAAATATTATTCTGTACGTGATGAACTAACCCAGGCAGTCCATACCACTTTAGTATTAGTCGTTAGCGAAAACTACTAAACGACTCCAAATTATTTTAGCTTTCCTACGGTGGTTGACAAAGAAAGCTATCAACTCGGCCAGATTGAGATACATTCTTCACAGTTAAAGTTAGCTTTCTGCTGCAAGTTTAGATAATTAGCATACCCCATGCGCTATTATTCACTCTTTCACTGCAGGTATTATATACGGATAAACCAGTGGTTGTGTGTTCCCCAACTGGATCAGGGAAAACTGTTGTCTTCGAGTTAGCTATAATCAGACTGCTTATGAACTTCCCTGACCGAGCAGAAAATTTCAAGATTGTTTATAGTAAGTATTGGTGGGTTTTAATAACCGTTGCAGGATGTCAGGTGGTGGTCAACATTAAACTTGTTGACACAGTAGAAAAACGTAAATTCTAGGGGCCCCCAATAATTTCCTCGTCCAGGATTGTACTTGTTTGCATGCTTTACTTCTTTCTTTCTTGCACAGGGAATGGCAATCATCCGTAATAGTTTCTCGTTACATCGATTCTCTCAGAAATCGCGGAAAATGCTCATCGGCGTCGAAAACGCCAAATGTTCAAGTTTTCTACTGTTTATCATGTTTTCATTGACGTTGGCGTTGTATTTGTCAAACCCACCAACAAAGAGCTATTAACTATATTGAAAAAAATCATATTTTACATAATAATCAATATGGATTTAGACGCAATCGATCAACCACAATGGCAATTATCCACTTAACTGAAAAAATCAAAAGAGCAATTGAAAACAATGAATTTACGATAGGGATATTTTTGGACTTGTCAAAAGCATTTGATACAGTAAATCATAAAATTTTACTACAAAAATTAGATTCATATGGCATAAGGGGAATGCCTTATAAATGGTTTCAAAACTATTTAACTGATCGAGAACAAATAGTAAAATTCAATAATATATTATCAAGAAAAGAAAAAATTCAGTGTGGGGTACCACAAGGTTCTGTTTTAGGACCACTATTATTTTTGTTATATATAAATGATATATTTAACTCAAGTAAATTAACATCATTCATAATTTTTGCAGATGATACAAATCTTTTCTATTCTGGGAAGAATATTGAACAACTAGAATTAGTTGTAAATAATGAAATTAAAAAAATATCTGAATGGTTTAAAAATAATCAATTAACACTTAATATAAAAAAGACGAATTACATAGTATTTAAATCTAAGAAAAAGAAACTTAAACATGAAATAAAAATAAAAATTGAAAATGATAATCTTGCTCATGTCAAAAATACGAAATTTCTAGGAATGATAATAGACCAACACTTAACTTGGAATGATCATATAAACTATGTAGCTAATAAAATTGCCAAAACAACTGGCATACTCAACAAAACACGCAACTTCCTAAAAAGAGACACATTAACAACATTATACAACACACTAATTTACCCTTTTCTATATTACGGTAATGCAGTTTGGGCAAATAATTATCCCTCAAAACTAAAAAAGATTCTCAAAATACAAAAACGAGCAGTTAGAATCATCACATTAAGTTCATATAATGCAAAATCGGTACCACTTTTTCGAAAAACAAAACAGTTAAAAATTGTGCAACTTAACAAACTATGCATTAGCCTTTTTATGTACGATTACGCAAAAGGAAATTTACCTACCTTTTTTGACAACTATTTCACTTTGAATAGCGAAATTCATAAGCATAATACAAGAAGTACAAATTTGATCCATAAAAAAGGCAATAGAACAAATTATGGAAAATTTTCAATAAAATATACGGGAACAGAAATATGGAATGGAATACCAAAAAAAATAAAAGATTCATTTACAAAAAAGAAATTCAAAACGGAAATGAAAATATATTTGTTTTCTCAAGACAAACTATAACGTCATGTTATATAGAATAAAATTAGAAACAATGATTGGTGTACACTAGGGAATAAAAAACAACTTTTAGAGTACGATTATATAGAATGTATTTAGTAATTGTTCCGCATATAATTTAACTATATGTACTCCAATTGAACTGATGAACCGCAATGTTTACCTGATAGATATTAGAAATAGACATATATTAACATTATAGCTAAGTATTATCTCAAGGAGGACTACTCGCAAAAGCCTTTTGGGTTTATTATAGTCCTTCTTCCAAATATGTAAACATAACTAAATAATATAACACGGGAAATGTAATGTACTATAAGCATACTTGGAAATAAATTCAATTCAATTCAATTCAATTTGCTTTCAACGGCTGCAAGCATGAACAGACTGTAAGCTGTGGATTGAACTAGCACAATTTGTTTATTGCAGTGGCTCCTATGAAAGCTCTATGTAGTGAAAGATACGAAGACTGGTCGAAGAAGTTTGGTCCAGTTGGGATGACTTGTAAAGAACTGACTGGAGATAGTGAAATGGATGATTATTTGGAATTACAAGCTGCTAACATCGTTATGACAACCCCCGTAAGTATTAAGTTGCATGCTTTCTGGTGAAAATACTGAGCTTAACTTTATATAGGATGTACTTAATTGCTGCCGTTAGGCAGCTCCCTATTCTTCACGTTTGCTTGACCCAGTCTTTCGCGCGACAAATATATTGGGAAGATCTCGATCAATGTGTCCGGGTGTCTGTCCGCAATTACGGGGAAATGATTATTCTGCAAGTTTTTTAAACAAGGGGGGCGGTCAAACTTTATTTTGTATTGTGCTCGCTTGATTCTTCTCAGGATTTCAGAAACGATCAACAATACTTTGCCTTTGGATATAAATTGCGGTAAGGATAGCTTTATTTAGCTGGCAATATACTTGAGATATACTTGAAAGCATTTATATTTAGATCTGCTGCTGTTTTATAGTGTTCGATATACTAGAGTAGAGGTATTGAAACAATATTGATTATTGAATATGATTTCATGAACTTATCAGCAGTTTTATTCACAGATATTATATACTTATACAAGGAGTCCAATTTTAGTAATATTTGTTTGTGCGGCGATAATGAGTTTGTATATTGTTCATTCTAGATGTTTATAGCAATGTGCTTTCAGCAAGTTTTAACAACAAACGCGGACTGTTGTGTATGCACGTCTTAATAATCAGGCTTAATGTATAAAAGATATTCCTATACTAGCAACCCAGTGTGGATTGATGTCTACACGTAAACGTACCAGCAGTTACATGTAATATACCCTGCTGGCAGTGGTTTCTGAGCTGAGGAGAAACTACTGCGAGCAAACGAACGATTTTCTAGCGAAGATCGCGTGATGCGACCAACGTGACGTCACTTTAAATTTGACTTTCTCTTCTGTAGTTTGTTAGATGTAAACAAGCTTGACATAGTTTAATCAAACGACTTTTTATTCTACATGCAGTTCGCAATTTATCTATCGGTTCTATAAATATCGTTGCTGCCAATACTAAAATATTTTTGAAAATCGGTTTCTCACGCTACAAATTTGACATTTGAATTTCTGTTATATCTTTTTCAATTTTTGTGTTTATACGATCAATATTTTTTTACTTGGTCTACAAACTTTATTTGTGTTACTTTAATTTAAACATTGGATATTGTGTTAAGGTTTTCGGTAGAGTAAATTCCAATTTCAAAAGTTTCCAAATATTAATATGTTTATTATTGTGGATTTTGACAATTATTGCATTTTTTTGCGACCTCAACCGCTACAAAACATTTCTCTAAAAGATTGATTTTTGTTGCAGTGTAGAATTTATTGTTATAATTATGTTATTCTTTTGAACTCTATGCGGTTTTCAAGTCATCTTGATGTATAATTTCTCACATTCTATTCAATATTTGTACACTTTTGTACAAAGACAAGGACAGTCAAAGTATTATATTTAAGCGTGTTGCTATATTTAGAACGTGATGTTGTTTTCAGTGTACAACTGGCTCGCATTTTACCAGCAGTGCCAAGCATTTACCCATGCGCACGACAACAAAAACTTGTTAAACTTGTTTTACCAGTTTCTCATTTATTGTTTCGTCCGTAAATTTGGACGGCGGCTACATCAAACGATCGTTCATTTGCTCGCAGTGGTTTTTCTTCAGCTCAGCTAGAAACCACTGCCACATGGTACATGTAATAACATGCCAACCGGCTTTTTTTGTACAAGGTACGACGTTCTGTAAAACTATATCCATTGTTATATATGTCCATTGTTAGCATGATATGAAATAATCCTACTGGCGAACATTCATATATTCACCTGGCTGTGTCACTACATTTCAGGGTATAAACACACCCTTAAAAACGCCTGGTTTCTATTAAATCGTAATCATCGCAATAGTCGCGGAACGCAGACATCGTTATCGCAAAAATCGCAAGTCTATCTTTGCGACGTTGTCGTAAGAGTCTTAGTTATTGGCGTGACTCAAGTTTCCAATAAATCTCAGTTTTTATTGAAAATTTTGCGTTTTTTAAATCATTGCGACGCTTGCGATGCGGTTTGTGCGAAAATTACGATTTAATGGAAATCCTTGATCCCTGGGCGGTGAGGCAGCACTTTCCTTGCGATAGTAACTTCTAGTTGTATTTTTATAAATTACGCGGATGTGACGAAAAACAATTACTTATGTTTTACTGTTAAATCTGTACCCTGTTCGCGCCCTAAGGGTTAAACTGGTAGTCTGGTTCGTTTTTGATCCGGTAACTTTCTTGGGTCCCGTAGTGGAAGTAAATTGCCTCCACCGTATTGCGCATGTCAATAGAAGCGTGTACTGAGATGATCTGCTTCAAAGCAAAACAAAATTTACAACAAAATCTTCAAAATTGGCGATTCCACAGCATTTTTTCTGTAGTATTTCAACAGTTCGCCATTATTTAATTGCAACATGGCTTCCAAAAGAGGTTTCCTTACAATAAGTGAGGTTGTTTCAGCACAAGGCAAAGAAAACCAGCCAAATAACGATTCTAGTTCAAATGAATGTTCACCTCAGGAATATAAACAAGTCAAGTGATGATAATTTTGAACCCACTTCACTGGAAAATCTTGATCTATGCTTCAAAGACTCGGTTTCTATCAATGAGACTATTCAAAAGGTATATATGTCTTGGATTTTCAATCAATTTCAAGTTTTACTTGTTGTTTACAATATTCATACAACCAAAAGCTGCATTGGTGATTGGTTAATTGCATTTATTGACTGCCTATTTACAGAGATAGTTCATAACAAATTTATTCAAGCTGAAGCAATACATAGTATATATTTGTACTGTATGTATTATGGTTTGTCGGCAATAAATTTTCGTATCTTTGGCAATTATCATGCTATTTACATAAATTTGGTGTCATTTGAAAGCTAGAGTGATGGTCCATGTACGCCATTAGGAAGTAGAACCTTACCACCCCCTGTCATCCACATAGCATGGATGAAACATAAAAAAACACTTTGTCGGTCATTCCCACTAAGTCTGTGCAGGGCCACACCCCCCCGGGATAGCCTTTTGATGTCTTCTAGTGTTAACATTCAGCAAATTCCCTTCAAAAAGTTTAAAAACCGCAGTGAAACTAAATAATGAGATTTTCGGTAAATTAATTCAGCACCCTAAGGGTTAAATATATTTTTCATCTGTATCTGTCTTTGTTTACAAAAAGAATCCATTGCTTTTACTTGTATTGACACTATGAATTTAGCGTATGTTTTTTATCCCGTATCACTGGTCCGCGTACTGTTAGAAACTGATAGACTTTAACCGTAACCGTATTTCATTGTAGTTTTAATGAGAAGTATACAGGACGTATAAAACCTGCTTAGTTAAGCATAAAAAAGAACAAAAGCATGCTTCCCTATCACGTGACTTAATCTAACACTAAGTGAGTCATTATACTAACGTTTACATGAAGTATGCAGTTCAACACTCCCACTTAATGACTACACTATGTAAATTCATTATATCATTAAACCTATAAACTAAAAAATGTCAACTCAAATGCATCTGAATGTCATTTGATCATACAATGTCTTTTACTCCCATCATGTCTCTAAACCTGTCAAAAGATACCTTTGGTAAAGCTTTTGTCATTACATCAGCTAGCATGTTCTCAGTTCGACAATACTTAACACAAACTATATTACGATTGACTTGTTCTCTTATAAAATGAAAAGAAACGTCAATATGTTTAGTGCGATTGTGAAATTTGTTATTCTTAGAGAGTTCAATCGCCCCTTGATTGTCCTCGAAGATTGTCGATGGAACATCTTGCTTCAAACCAATATCAGAAAGGAATCTTCTGAGCCGAACTGCTTCTTGACATGCAGTACTCAAGGCAATGTACTCTGCATGCTTCTGTTGTTGATCTTGAAACGGATGCTTGCCTTTTACTGCACCAACTAATCGTGTTGTTCTGTATCTGGAACACATATCCAGATGTAGAACGTCGAGTTTCAACATCGCCTCCCCAGTCAGCATCAGCATAACCATACAATACAGGATTATTACCATGAGCAGTAAACGTGAGACCAGAATTAAGTGTCCCTTTAACATATCATAGAACTCTTTTTACTCCCTGCCAATGATCTTTTCCAGGTCTAGCCATATACTTTGAAAGAATTCCAACTGCAGCAGCTAAGTCTGGACGTGTAGCAGTAGTTGCCCAGGTTGACAATCTTGCCAAGATCCCAGCAAGATCTTGACAAGATCTTACCCAAGATCATGCCAAGATCTTACATAAATCCTGCAAGATCATGGAAAGATCTTGCATGATCTTGCAAGATCTTTCCAAGTTCTTGCAGGATCTTACCTAAGATCTTGCAGGATCTTGCAAGATCTTGCCAAACATCTTGCAAGATCTTGCCATGATCATGACAAGATCTTGCCATGATCATGACAAGATCTTGCCATGATAATGGCAAGATCTTGCAAGATCTTAGGTAAGATCCTGCAAGAACATGGAAAGATCTTGCAAGATCCTGCAAGATCTTAGGTAAGATCCTGCAAGAACTTGGAAAGATCTTGCAAGATCATGCAAGATCTTTCCATGATCTTGCAGGATCTTTCCATGATCTTGCAGGATTTATGTAAGATCTTGCCATGATCTTGGTACAAATCCTGCAAGATCTTGCCATGATCCTCCAAGATCTTACCAAAATCCAGCAAGATCTTGCCATGATCTTGCCAAAAATCCTGCCAGATCTTGCCATGATC